TCTCTATGGGTTTTCCAACGATGCCATTTTGACTTTAGAGTTTGATCAAGCTAGGTCACTATTAAGGCAAAGGATTTTAGGTATAGAAGGCCAAGTAGAAACTGCTGTTTTTACCCATAATATAATTGCAAATAACCAAATTCTAGTGAACAAACCAGTCTCATACCTGTACCACATTACAGTTCCAAAATTCAGGAGAGCTTTATCCTGAGCTCGATTTAACACTTTCCCATAGCTGTTCTAGAAGGAAGATACAGGAAAATCCCTTATGATATTCGATACTGCCCCTGTGGTACAGGTGCCATTGAAATCACAGTCCATGTTCTATTGTATTGTCAGTATTATAGGGACATTCGCTTTCAGCTGATTACCCCTCTTTTAATTAAACTCCGCGGGCATTCCGATAATTTTTACTTGCCTTATTTGTTAAATAATCAAGATAAATTTATTTCTTTAAAAGTTGCAAAATTTTGCTATATAATGTGTAAGGTTCACCCGCAAATGGTTGCTAATAGTTATTGATGAAAGGGGTAATATTGTTGTTTGTTTTATTGTATTTATTTTTATTGGTCAATGACTGAAATAAATATGATGATGATGATTTATTTTATATTGTTCTTCCTGCTGCTCTTATGGTGTTCACGGGAAAGCCCTTGGCCAAGGCACAGTCTTAAAGTTTTTTTACTGAGCTATAGGGAAAGGCCGGTACTTTTGATGGAGCTCCTGGAAAAAGCTTGAGCAGAAAAAATGGCTTGCAGCAAAGAAATAAATAATTCCTTTTTCTTGGCAGGGTGCCTCCCCTATTTCAAATGGGATCATCCCCAAATAATGACTCTCTGTAGTTTATTAGAATGTGTTTCTTTCCTGTCTGGTGCAACAGCTAACTATGTCATCTATTTCTTTCCACAGTGGGAGGAACAATTTGCTTTCCCTGTTTTTTAGCCTGGACAATTTGTTGCTGAGCTGTATTTTCCTCAGAGAGAGAGAGAGAGAGAGAGAAAGAGACCTTTCCAGTTACCAGAAAGAGGCTCATCCTAAAATGTAAGACCTGAGCGGACAGACAAACATAAAACTCCAGTTGACTGGCTATACAATTACATATTTGTATTTGCTTCATTTAGGTGGAGAAATTTCTCATAGTAAGTAATATGTCTGCTAAATGTCTAGCTTTTGTTCTGTTCTTCAATCTTATCTATTTTTTTTTTTTTTGGCAGAAGTTTCTCTAAGAACGTGCTTGAAATCAACGCTGTTCGCTAATTTTAATAAATTCTGCTCCCTGTAAGGCAGAATTATATTTCCCAAAGAAGGCTCATTTCTCTGTCAATTTTCCTTACCTTATGTCATTATTCCTCTTTAAAGCCAGCTTTAACCTTTTCTTTTTCATGTTTCTTCCCCCTCTTTTCACTTAGATTGCCGCATTTTATTCTTCTCATAGAAGCAAGAACTCCAAGGAATGAGTTCAGACATGAAACACTGGGACTTGTTTACCTTCTCGTTCCTTCTTCTGAATTATAATGTGACAATTATGGGTAAGTATTGAGAAATGTGCATCTTAGATTTGAGTTCTAATTGTTTTCGTTCCAGGAAACTGCGTTCTATGGACTACTGTAATGCGCTCTACATGGGGCTACCCTTGAAGAGTATCCGGAAGCTACAGCTGGTACAGAATGCAGCGGCACAGACAGTTCTTAATGCCCCTAGGAGGGCACATGTAACACCGCTGTTGCGCGGGCTGCATTGGTTACCAGTTTGCTTCCGGGTCCAATTCAAGATGTTGGTTATCACCTTTAAAG